AATAATGCTGCTTCCAAAGAATGACCAGGTGAGGGCTCTCTCCTCTTATAAATGTCTGTGGTTGGTTTTCACAGCAGAAGGAATGTTTCAAGAAGCGCTGGTTCAGCCTAGATCACCGAAGGCTGATGTACTTCAAAGATCCTTTGGTAAGCCAGTAATTGATTTTGCCTTTCCTCTCATCTTCCTGATTTACTCAGGTATTTAAATATATATTAGGCCAGCAGAAACATGGCCGTTTGGTTGCTTGAAATAAAAATAGGGTTATTAGTTTTTTAACTCAATCCTATAGCTACCCAAAAACATCTATGAATTTCATATTTTTTCCACTTGATTTTTTTGCATATCAAACCATTATTAAAAGCAGACCAGACAGTTTCTCCTTTGATTGGTGGTGTACTCTAAATTAGAGAGAAGAATTATCTCCTCAGTTTGTAAAGTTGGAGCAGCCTTTCCCAATTCAGTGCCTTCAAGATGTGTTTGAATTGCATCTCCCTGAATTTCCTACCAGGATATTGATGTTCATTCATCTTTGATTTTCATATGTTTCGTATATATTCCATTATTAGTCCCAAAGATTGAGGAGAGCTTGTCAAGAACCCAACTTTGACATTTTCCATTCCTAATGTCTTGTACAATCAAGGAAGATTGTGATTGCGATATTGCTGGGATCCTGAGGGTTTAGTAATAGCTCAGGAGTTTGAAACGTCCTTCCCACCCAAGGCTGAGAAATTTCCATCTTTAATCCCTCAATGTAACGTGTAATCCTCAAAGCAGGTCTATAATAGAAAAAGAAAAGAAAAATATAAACAATATACATGTATATTTAAAACAAATTTATAGGGCGTGTCAAATTTCCAAACATTAGAGGTGCTCAAAAGTTGTGACGTGCCTTGTGGGTTGTAAAGGTATTTTGGTTACTTTAATATAATTTAGATGTGCTTGGTAAATAACAAGATAAATATCATAACTTTTTAACATTTTGTTTGTTTCATTTTGGGCACCAAAGAACAAAAATAAAAAAGAACATAACAAAGTAAAATACACATGTTACTGTTACTGGTACAGTGAGATGTAAAAGTGACTCTGTTTTTAAATAACAATTTAAACTTTGCGTCAAAGGAATCATATTGATCAATCTTTTCATTACCTCACCAGAGAGCCATTTCAAAGACTAAAAATGAACAAATTCCTTCAGTCCAGGATTTTAGATCCAGATTAATAGTTTCTTTTCAGATATATCCAAAGTTTTTTTTAAAAAAATGCATTATTTTATTGCCTTTAAAATAATGACAAAAAGGAAAACAAAACATAAAAATAAAAATACATACATTGCAGGGGTGGGTTCTACTTACCTTAACTATCGGTTCGCAATGGGGCTGCACGTGCGCGCTCGCTTCACTCGTGCGTGCACACTTCTACGCATGCGCAGAAGCTTCCTGATGATGTTGGGGTGGGTGGGCGGAGCCTCCCACCGGTTTTACTACCAGTTCTATAGAACCAGTCCGATACATTGTCGATACATCAATATACCACTAATACGTTGTCAAAGAAAAAAGAACACATTGTAAAATAAAGTAGGTTTGAAAAAAGGTGATAGTTATATAAACATATTAGAAACATATATGTACTTGAATGATTGCATTAGGTAGCTTTATATAAAATTGTAACTGTTCACTGCTAAAATGATATATTATGGTCTAGCTACACCCCAAGCTTGAAAGTTCAAAATTGTTTTAAAAATCAATAAACTCTCATTTTTTGGTGTATAGTTTAGCTTTACATTAATATATTTAAATCTTATTTATCTTTCCCAAATTATATTAACAATAATATAATGGCCTTAACTTGGAAGCCATTGATCAAAAGTTTCTTATTTGTGTTTAATTGACTTCTCCATGAATGTTTAAGGAAGGCTGTGAGTCAATCTTTTTTAATTACAAAAATATATGAAGAAATGGTTCTGCTATTGTTTCAGTTCTTCCAGCTGCTGCTTCTCTTCCTAAGGTTAGAGTGTTGTAGCTAAAGTATTGGCACATTTCTCCCTTCTCAGTGGTGTCCCAGGAGAACAACCAGAGTAACTTGAAAGTATTCTGTTATAAGTTATAACTATAGTCTAGAATCCCAGAATGAGTTTTAGGCAGATGTATTTTATTTTTCTTCTTATCCCATGCAGGATGCTTTTGCTAAAGGTGAGGTTTTCCTGGGCAATGGGGAACAAGGATATAATGTCATAAAAGGATTGCCACATGCCATGCAGGGTAGGTTCACCTGGAAACATGGCATCATTATTGTAACTCCTGACCGCAAGTACATCTTCACCTGTGAGACGGAGAAAGAGCAGGAGGAATGGAAAGCTGTCTTCAGCTATGTGATGGAGCAGCCCATGACGCCCCAGGAGTATGCAAGTAAGTTCTAACAGGATATTTTCATTCTATTCAGCCATGAGAGATTGAAGACAGGGGTCTTCAACCCTTAGGTGGTTGCTGCTTTTTGCTGCTTTTTCTCTTGGCGTTCTTCCCCTCCTGACTTGGTAAATTTAAAAAAAAAATGAATTAAGAAGTTAGGACTGGCAAGCTACATTGAAAACTGTGTATCTTTGTCCGTGTGTGTCTCCACATGCCTTTAAGACTGCCTTGACAAATCCATGCAGTTTTCTTGGCAAGATTTTGGAAGTGGTTTTTCCATTGCCTTCTTCTTAGGACTAAGAGAGTCTGACCCAAGGTCACCCAGGTAGCTTTTTACTTAAGACAGAACTAGAACTCACAATCTCTCAGTTTCTAGCCCGATGTCCTACCTACTACACCAAACTGGCTCTATGGTAAAGTGGCAACCGCTAATAATAATATTTTAGGGCTTAAATGGAGCCTGTAAGCTTAATGGGCGACTACAGCTCAGTGCCTTGTTTGTGAGTATGCCAATGTACCCAGAAAAAGGACCAAGATAAGCAATGGCAGTAGGGAGATGATGGCAGGTAGCATTTTCTCAAACTAATGTTTTGTAACTGGTTCTGTCCCCTATGGAAGCTATTTTGTGACTATTGCAAGATTGCCCGTTATGTGTTCTGACCACTCCAAATATACCTACCCACCAGGGGTGGGTTCTACTTACCTTTACTACCGGTTCGTAGCGGGGCTGCGCATGTGTGCGCTCTTCTGCGCAAACGTAGAAGCTTCTGCATATGCACAGAAGCATTTTGATGACGTCGGGGTCGGTGGGCGGAGCTTCCTGCCAGTTTTACTACCGGTTCTATAGAACCGGTGCGAACCGGGGGCAACCCACCACTGCTACCCACCCAGTGTTTCTCAACCTCAGCAACTTTAAGATGTAGGGAATTCAGTTCCTAGAATTTCCTAGCCGGCGTGTTGTTTGTGGAATTTTGTGAGTTGATGTGTCTTAAATAGTTGCTGAGGTTGAGCAACTCTGCAACTGACCCATAAGAACAGGAAGGTCATCTAGGTAGATTGGGCAGATATGAGAGTTGAACAAGAGATGTCCTGATCCATATCCAGGATTTTCCCCACCATATAACAAGCAGCTCACATTACTTACACTGCTGAAATGTTTATGCTTTCACTAGTCACAAAGCAAGACGATCTCTAAGGTAAAGGTAGAGGTTTCCCCTGTCCAGTCGTGTCCAACTTTACTGGGTGGTGTTCATCTTTGTTTCTTAGCCAAGGGAGCTAGCGTTGTCTGAAGAAGCTTCTCTGGTCATGTGGCCAGCATGACTGTACACCAAGGTGCATGGAAGGCTGTTGGGTAGTAAAATGCAGCTGAAAGTCTGTAAAGATTCTTAGTCATCCAGGTCATAGTTGTCCCAAAGGTGCTTTTTCAGAAGGCAACTGGATTTGCTTGTTTTTTTTTTTTTTTTTTGAGGATGTTTCGCTTCTCATCCAAGAAGCTTCTTCAGTTCTGACAGGATAGTGGACAGGAGGACACTTCCATTTCCCACTGTCCTGTCAGAGCCGAGGAAGCTTCTTGGATGAGAAGTGAAACGTCCTCAAAAGAAAAAACAAGCAAGTCCAGTTGTCTCCTGAAAAAGCACCTTTGGGATACAATGCAGCTGTTATCTCTTGCTGCCTCTAGGCAGGGCCCACAACCCTTCTAGCTTGTCCCTTCGGCCAACAGGACTAGAAAAGTAAATTTATTTAATTTAAAATGAATTATGTCATACGCTCAGCAATAAAATAAGTGTAAATATAGAGTTGCAAAATTAACCCCCCCCCCCTTGTCTATGGCTATTCATGTTTGCCATAGTAGATTTATAATATATTTTCTTTTCTTTTTTTACAGTTGAAGCTAATTTCAGGATCAAACATTGACATCTCTGGGGAAGAGTGAGTTGCTGCTAGTTTCTTGATCTACAGTTTTTGGATAACACAGAAGAAAAGACATTCTGGAGTCAAAGTAGCCTATGTATTCTCTCAGAGCAGGAAGGAGCATTGAAAGAAATAAAATCCACTTAGACAGCCCTCTGCCAAAATACTGCTGGACACCTGGCCCTCAAAATCCTCTGTCATTTTGACCCTGAACTACACTTGGTATAGAAATAAGCAGCACAAAAACTGATGTAAAGCAGCTGATGGATGCTACTGCAGATTGACCAAAATGTGCATATTCCCACTGCTTGCTGCTGATTGGCCACTATTTGTTCTTGCTTGGTGTTATGATAGAAGCAAAGCAAATTCTGGAACAAGAAGAAGATCATTAGCCTGGAAAGTAAACTTTGCACACTTCAAAAATGGTTTGGAATTATGTCTTTTTTAGGCTTCCATGCAACCCTGAAAAAAGATATGTCTGTTTTAATTGCTCAGTTGTGACTTTTAAAGCAGCTGAATCTTTTTTTCCCTCAGATACATACACACAAAAATAGCAGGAAACTTTACTAAACAGTAGAAAAATGAGATGCAAGATTCATAGCACATTTCTTTCAAAACATTTTCAAAATTTCTGACCTGGAAGCTATGTCCTAAAAGAAGAGATTGCAGGACTGGATATGTTTAGCCTTGAAAATGAGGGTGGTAGGTGGGAAATATGATAACTGCCAATTTCCAAGATTGGTGATGAGATCCTGGCTGAATTAAAATAGAGGCAGAATCATAGAAATATGAGGCTTGCTTTAATATGAGTTCTTGCATTGATTGGGAACTGGCTTTAATTGTCTAAAAGCTTCTTTTAAATTTATGGTTCTCCAAACTTCATCACATCTGTCACAGACCACTGCATAAGATGATGAGCATCCTGATTAGATCAAGACAGATATCGGGTATGATTTGACTAAAACAACCATATTTTATTCCAGATATATTTAAAATATCTTAAAATAACAATGCTACACAAACAGTTCTGTGTATCCCATTTTTTAAACACTTAAAATTTATCAAAAGGTGAATTCTTTTCGGTGCCAGCCAACCTTTTCTGTTATACTATAGAAAGTAGTGTTGATTCCACTAACTAGTTTGTCTTATTCCATCCTAGACCTCTTCTTTCTTAACACGGCTCTTAATTTTCTATTTTTATTCTGAGACAATTAAGCACCTTCCTTCTCTATGCACAAAAAGGGAGAAAACGGGGGTTGGGAGAAAGCAGTGGGGAAACTGACAGAAAGCTGAAGGAAGAACATGGGAGTTAGATGGGTGGGAAGACAAGATGGTTTAAGTACACAGTGTCATTCTTCATTAGCTAACAGTCCAGTAGTTATTGCTGAGAATATTAACATTTGAGTGTGAAGCGGTGAGTCGGACACATTCCTCCATCATAAAGGGGAATGCTATTTTTGAGTAGAGGACAGTTGGGCAGCAGAAGAGATGAGGAAGAAATCTGTTGGATTGCTCTGAGGAGTGATGTGCATTAATGGCTAGCAGATGACTACTGGAATAGAGAAGTTGAAGACTCACACGAGGACCCAATCTATGGAGGTTGAAAACATGCTGTTTCATTCATAAAATGCAATGGATGTACTTCCAGTCATCGTCTTTCTCTAAGGAATGGTAAGAAGCATCACTGATGATGACACGCAAAGAAGACAGTTGCCATCGTTCCTTATGAAGAATAGGTTTCTTTTCTCCTATCCAACCTATTTTGGTTTTTTCCCCATCAGCATTCCCAGTCCTCCTTATTGATCTTAATTGCCAGACTTGTGAGGCACGAAATGTGCCTATGATAGTTTTCTGCAGAATTGGAGTGCATTTTGGCTATTCGATGATGGTGGAACTCATTGAAGAACCATTCTGGGGCAATTTCTCAGATGAAGAAATTGACTTTCAGGAGCAGAGTTCTCTCACGGGAGTTTTGGGAGCAATCCTCCTCCTGATGTGCTTCATTGGGATGACAGGAAATATCTATACACTGGTGGTGGCATTTGGTAGCATGGCAATTCGTTCAGCAAGCAGTTTGTGTGTGTATGTTATTAACTTGGCCTTGGCAGACTTACTCTACCTTTCCACCATCCCCTTTGTGGTTTGTACCTATTTTGCTCAGGACTGGTTCTTTGGAGATGCAGGATGCAGATTTTTGCTTAGCTTGGACTTGCTCACAATGCATGCTAGCATCTTTCTGCTGACGGCCATGAGCTTGGAGCGTTATTGGGCAGTGACCAGACCACTAAAGGTTAGGATTGTTGGGAACAGTTATCATAAGGTTGCCAGCCTTGCTGTGTGGCTTCTGTCATTGTTGCTTACAATACCAATGATGGTCATGATCCAGCAGCGGGAAGGTGGAAGCCATAAACATATTTGCTTTCCCACGTGGACACCTGATGCCTTCCGAGTTTACCTCACAGTTCTCTTTGGCACTAGCATCCTAACACCTGGCCTTGTCCTAGCCATATTGTACTCACGTCTTGCATGGAGCTATTGGATTTCTACAAAAACTATGCAGCCTCAGGTGAGGGGAAGAATGTTGAAACAGAAGCTGTTCTCCAGGATCTTCAGCATCATTGTGGCCTATTGGGCTTGCTTTGTACCATTCTGGGCCTGGCAGTTAGCCAAATTGTACTGGTCAATGGACTTGGAGATTGGCCCTACTGCTCAGGCTTACCTCAATTTTGGTGTTACCTGCTTGACCTATAGCAACAGTTGCATCAACCCATTCCTTTATACTCTGCTAACAAAAAATTATCGTGAGTACATGTCAACTAAGTATGAGGAAAGACAAGGCAGACAGTATGCCTTCTTGAGAAGGAGGAGAGATGCAAAACCTCAAGCAGAATGTGTATCTGTAGCACAGGGAGTTGACCAGATTGAAGAAACAGAAGATACCCATTAATAATTACCAGTAATGTCAAAGATGTCATTGTTCCTGAGGTTCATCCTACTCACTTAAGCCAAGAACTTCAACCTTTTGGGCTCCATGGGCAAACTGAGAATTTTGATAGCACATGATAGGAACTCATGCAGACGAGTGAGAATATTCCTGCTGACCTCTCTAGACCTTAAGATTCTCTCAGCCTACATTTTCCTTACTCTGAGCTGTCAAGCAGACTTCCAAATTAAGCATGGGTTGCAGTCACTTCACATTTTTATTTTCTAGGATTGTTCTGAGTCCTAGTAAATTATGATTTGATTATTTTTCAGAACCAGTTGGGAAAGGTAATCAGCATTAAAGGAGATATCCATGATAAATTGGTAACAGTAGGCATCTTGCTGCAGATGCTAGATAAAGATGTGCAAAATATAATACGTTTTGCTGTCAGTGATTCAGTCAGGTAGTCAAAGGGGATGAATCGTCCTGACACCTATTGGTCATTTCAGGCTGATGTGGGGACACCCTTCCCTTCTGGTCTCTGAGAAGGTTTAGAAAAGAATACCCACTCTTGAGAAAGAAATTCAAAATAACCCTGTCTTGATTTTGTTTGGCATAAGTTATAGTAAACAAAAATAGGCAGGCTTAGTTTCAAGATACTGCTATTATATCCTAGAACAATAAAAAAAAAGCATTTCTGAAAACTCTACTGGCCTATTTCCTGTCTATTTATCTCAAAGCGCTGACAGCAGTACGTCTTCTTCCGGTTACAGGGTGCGTGGATAGCATTTTAAATGGTGGGAAAAGGCATAATGTCTACCCCATGATAATGCTTATATTCTTTTCTCATTGAGAAGACAAAAAGTTGGAGGTTGAAAGTCAAATATTCGGTTAAAATCACCTGATCTCTGAAACGCATTTAAGAATAAATAAATAACAGCTCCTTAGCTTTCTGCAGTAATATTGTATTCCTGGCATGGATGCTATTTCTAAGTGAGAGCTCTGCATTAATTTAAGAATAGCTCTAGACCTCTGAGCTCATTATATTGCCTTGTTTAGAAGCTGAATTAATTTATTTCTGGCTCAGCTATGGTGCATTTGAAATGACTTTTTTCTTTGAAAACACCTTGGCTCATTTGACCCTGTGGATGATTATTTCTCCTTTGTCAGAAATCCTGGCCTCACCGTGCCCAGAGTTTGGGCTTCATCTGGTTTTTATTTTACAGACCACCAGACAAGAGCAGGTAACAAGAATATAGATGTATATGAGGCAATTTATTTCTTCTTGAGGTGGAATGGGGGTGAGGGGATTTTTCTAGTGGAGAATTTCTGGCAGCTCTGGGTGAGTCAGTGATCTTTGCTCCTCATTTTTGGCATTTTGAAATTGGCTGGTTTGTAGAGGATGACCGATTTTTTGCAAAACCATGGAGTGGAAGAATAGTGTGGAAATATCCACAGTCATTGGATATGATAGTCATTAACAGTCATTAAATTAATATTAATTTTAGTTAAGCCATGTTGATATACTGCAATCAAGTTTATTATTGGTTCTAGCCTATTGTTCTTAAATTGTATGTACTTGATATATGCATATTGATTATGTCCCATCAAGTTGTTGTTGACTCTTAGTGACAACATAGATAGGTTTTCTCCGTGATGATCTGACCCTAACCTGGTCTTTCAGATCTTCCAAAGATGGTGTTGCATCCATGCATTCTTGCATATATCAACAGCACCACACAATTGGCTCTATTCCTCCCATTAATTATGTCAGCCTGATATAAGGCCTGGATGTAATGTCCTAGAAAGAAATTCTATTATCCCCTCAGTTCCCAGATTTTTCATCTATGGTAGATATGAAATGAACTTCTTATCAAAACCAAGATGGTAAAAATGACAACTTTAACAAGGCGTGTATTGAAGTAAATGACAAATTGTTGTCTACATACTTTCTCAACTTATCTATATCTGTGATATGCAGAAATGCTAAGATTTATAATCCAGCACATCCAAAAGACATTGAGTTGAAAAAAGTGTTCTAAAATATATAGAGATCACCATTTGGGATGTAGTCAATTACTATGGCATCAATACAATCATCTGGTAAGCTGTTTTATTCTCACATGTTGAGCTTTAAGCCTGTCTTTTGCTTCTCTTGGTTTTATGATCCGGTACAATCCTGAGTAGGACAATATAAACTATCAGAGAAAACAGTTGCATTTACTCTGTTCTGTTTAAGATTAAGAATGGCTTTATTAACAGATTATTTGCACATGCAGTGGAAAGCACTTGATCAATGATGATGGAACTATAGAAGAAGTTTAAGGTATGGATATTCCAGTTATGTCCTGTAAGCATTTCCAATTCTCTAGTTAACAGAGAATGCAATCTGGCTTCTCATCCCCTTCTTAAATGTTGCTACTATGTGGTATGTTACAGCCACATGAGACATTTTCTCTTTGAGTGAAAAAGACACGCCCTACCCAGACAAAAGCTGATTCATAGCCTGCCAAAGTTTCACCCATGACAGTTAAGTCATTTGTGCATTCATTAATTGTGCATTGGTTAATATTTTTAATCATATGAAACATCATGACCTTAGCTCATCCTACTTCTGCAATTGCTGGAAAACTCTGTCTGCAAAATTATTCCCCGACTCTACAACAGCTTGCTCTAATCTAACTTTGGAAGCAACTTTGAAATTGGAAAATGGAAAGGCAAATGGAACAGAACAAATACTAAAGAGAACAGAATTGCATAATCTGATGTTCTGTCCTAAATGTGTTTACCACAGCCTCTAATTAGTGTATCCCTCTGCTTCTTTAGTGCTCCAGGAAGGTAAAAAGGAAAAAGAACACACCATAGATTTACTGTTTTTTAAATGTCACCTGGACCTGAAAGGAAGAACAGCACAAATCTTAGCAATTTCATTTGGGGGGTGGAAATGGTCCATATTCCATTGTTCTACTCTTCTGTCTTTACAGAAAAAAGAAGTCCATCTGTTTCTATTGGTAAAATAGCCAATAGAAGGGCAATGCACTGGGATCACTTGGAGGGAAGGGATTTGCCTACAGAGAAATGAACATCGCAGATGGGTTGAATAGCTAAACAAGCAAAAACAGGACTTTCAATGTGTAGCAGAAAAAGAAAAGGGAAAGTTGTCTTTCTTGTGGACTAGAATCTGGTAAAGCAGTGTTTCTCAACCTTGGTAGCTTGAAGATGGGTGGACTTCAATTCCCAGAATCCCCCAGCCAGCGCTGCTAGGGGATTCTGGGAGTTGAAGTCCACCCATCTTCAAGCTACCAAGGTTGAGAAACACTGCAGTAGAGGATGATCTTGTATGCTCATGACCTCAAAAAGTGATTGGCAGCCCATCGTCATGCTGGAATTAGTCAATTATGCAGATCAGCCCTTAATCTCCCAGCTACAAGCCAGTCTGAACCCCACCCAAATTTCAATAGTATAAATTCAGTAATATAAATTTTCAGCTGATTTCTGTTGTAAAATGCCTGTTAAATCTCTAGTGGATTTAGTGAAGCTATTTTGCTTTTAAACAAAACGTAACAGAAATGTTCCATTTAAACCATGCCCTTTCTGGCAACAGATATTTAAAACAACAAATAACAACAGCAGTTGAAAATCCTGGCCAGAGCAATGTTGACCACCCAAGCAGAGAGGATAAATGAAAGAGCCTATCAAGCCTTCCCTAGAAGGTGTTGAGATGAGAGCAAAGGGGCACTGTAGGTGGGAAGACCCTCTGTTGCAGACCACCCCAGCCTCGTTGGGTTGCTTACACCTTTTATTACAATACCAGCCTTTCCAGACATTGGCCATCCTGGTTGTGACTGATGGGAGCCCAGCACATTTGAAAGATGGGAGATAAGTAAAACTCATTTCAGAGTGATGGAGTCATTTTGAACTGATTGCTACTCTCCCTATGGGGCAAAGCTTCTGTATCCTATAGGGAGGTTTGCAACTGCTGTTGAAAACTGCATCATCTCTTGGCTATGCATTAGTTTTGATCACTAGGGCAAATGGAGAAAGATAAATAATAACACATGCTGTCCTTGGGCCTATTTTGCAGCTAGTCTATGGTTAGTTAAATGAATCTGTGTGTTTAGGTGACAGAAGAAACTCTAGTAGCACCTTTTCTTACTAACTGAACAATTCTTGCTGTGTTTTAATTTTGTTCTTTGAATCTGTGTGGATCTTGATGATTTCTTGTCTCTGAACCTACAAAGAACAGATCCTTGTAGACAGGGATGGGCTTCAAAAAATTTAGCAAGGGGTTCTCTGTCCAGTTGCTGGGTGGGCATAGCCATGATGGGCGTGGCCTAGTCGGCCTCCTGCACCGCAGCAGGGGGACGGGCTTTTTGCCCTCCCTGAGCTCCAGAGGCTTTCCTCAAGCCTCCAGGAGGGCAAAAACAGCCTCCCCAGGCTCCGGAGGCGCTCTGAAAGCCCGAAACTGGCCAGTTTCCAGCCTTCCCGAACTCCCGGTAGGCCCGTTTTTTGTCTCCCAAGCCTCCACGTGTGCCCTGCACTTACCTGCATCCAAAATGGGTCGCATGGGAACTCATGGGAGGGGTGGGGTAGGGTGGGCAGGGCCACCCAGGAGTGGGAATTCTCCAAACTGCACAGAATCTTAGCTAGAGGTTCTCCGAATCCCTGCGAACCCCCAGCAGCCCACCCCTGCTTGTAGCAAATGAAAGCAAATAAATTTTCAAGAGATTGGAGAGGCTGTAATAAACAGAGGATGAGCCTCTGTTGTTTAAAAGAAAAACATTAGAGTCTGGACTTTTCAGAATGGATTCCTTAGAGCAGGGGTGTCAAACTCACAGCCCATGAGCTGGATGTATCACATGCTGGCCTCCCGCACCCCCATTTTAACCAAGGGGGAAAAAGTTGTGATACGTCACGTGATGACAACATAACCGTGAGTTTGACACAGGGGTGAAATCCAAAATTTTTCCCTACCGGTTCTGTGGGCATGGTTTGGTGAGCGTGGCAGAGGAAGGATATTGCAAAATCTCCATTCCCACCCCACTCCAGGGGAAGGATACTGCAAAATCTCCATTCCCTCCCCTCCTGGGGGGAAGGATATTGCAAAATCTCCATTCCCACCCCACTTTGGGGCCAACCAGAGATGGTATTTGCCAGTTCTCCGAACTACTCAAAATTTCTTCTACCGGTTCTCCAGAACCTGTTAGAACCTGCTGGATTTCACCCCTGGTTTGACACCCCTGCCTTAGAGAGTTCTTATAACAACAGTAAAAGCTAGCAAAGCAAGGTAAAGGGAACAATTGCGTTGAACTTTGGCATAGAAAATTAGACATGCATAACATAAAGCAAATCAGGCAGCTACCTGTCAGGAAGATACGGTCATACATTTCAAAATGGCAAAATGCAAATATGCCAATTAATGCTGCTTTTTTATGAGATTGCCTGCGAAAAGTCCCTGAAAGTTAAATAGTATAATCCCTAGAAGGAGAAGGTAAATCTGGTGGACTTGCCTACACAGGGGCCAGCCAGCTTCCATGAATGGGAAGGGCGAGATGCAAACAAAAATGTTAAAAGGAATTGGACATGGGCAGATTTTTTTTGTTTTACCACTTTCATCTTCAGCCAAATGGAAGTCTGCATGCCACTTAGAAGAGGTTGTAGTCTGCATGACTCTTTCCTCACCGCCAGATGGCAGACTGCCTT